AGGATTAACAGAAATTCGGTCAAATATCTAGAAATAATGCCTACAATTGCCAGCATAATGATATTCTAAAATATACCAAGTTAAAGACATGTAGGATTAAAGAATATGTACGCATACGTGAGTTTCAAATATTCTTTGAATGGACTCCAGTCGAAGATTGATTGCCATATAGGCCAAATAAAGAGTCAAGTTGCCTTTTACGCGTGAGCGAGAACTAAAGTAAATATAAAAGTAAGTAATTGCAAAAAATGGGGAGTGATAAAAACTAAAACCTGCCTTCTCGGCCGCAATACAAAACGTTTTTCAAGCAAAACATTTCCTTGCTCTTCAACTCCAATATCCAAATGGGAAAGATTAATTGAAACAATTCCTAAAAAATCATCACGCGTCTAAAGGATATTACAAAAACCCAACTTACGATTCTGTTTTCATCATAAAGCTCAAAAACTATTCGATTTTCAATAGGATTAACCTATTAAAGTTGGTATGCCTAAATGCTTGCTTCTTACTCTGAAAATAAATTCCTCGTTCCAAAAAGGATTCAGGGAGCGCTTGATTGTTCTCGTCTGTAGAGGTGAACATACCAACAGAGTGCTTCGGGAGTTTTTATATAAGATAATTTTACAGTAAGGATCACTTAAATTAAGGATTTAGGACCAAACCTTGTGCCAAAAACGTCTTTTTTCAACAAATCATTTGCGCTAACCACGCGGACTTTTAAAAGCTTTACAGAATCTGTACACTGAATGGAATTAAATGATATTAGTGCGTAATACTTTTGAAGACGGAATTCCGAATATTGTTGAATGGCATAATAGGGGCGGTATTATATCTGAAAACATAACGAATTAACAACAGTGCGGATCCTTGATTCGGGAAAACAGTTATATATGAAGTTAATCATGGGATGCGAAAAGGTAGGAAATGCAGGCATATGCCCGAAGGCCAGGATACAATTTAACACAGCGCCTCATAGAGCACTAAAGCATGATTTAGATAAAGACTTTAATCTCCTTGGTAAACATATATATATATATAATTATCTTCTTTAAATACATATTTTGAATCATTGGGTCAAAAGGTGTTATCCTAAAATT